GTACCAGTAATATATTATGTTATAATATGAACATTGTTATGTAATTTTGCAAAGTTATATTCATTATAGAAGTTAGGTGTTTTCCATATTAGTGTTGTGTTATTATAGAAATCTATTATTGTACTCTATATAAATTCTACATGATTTCAAGTAATAATACACTAATTTCCACCGAATTTGAATTTTCAAATAATCTCATTGTAGCTATTAGCATCCTATCCTATTTTAAGCTTTCGTGGGAGAAACAATCCAGTAGCCTTACTCCAAGGAAAGGCAACGTGCTGGCGAACACTTTCACAGGAGAGATTTCACAAGTCTGAAGACAAGAATACCAAGTGCTTAACAAATGGGGGTCACTGGGAATCGAACACAAGACCTCTCGGTCACAGAAGGCTCTGATACCATGTCATAAACCAGTTGGTCCCAATAACTCGAGTTGTTGGGAGAGGTTCAATCGTGTATCATATATCACAACACTAACATTTTGTACCCTCAATCCTCGAATCAGCATGCCCTCGGGACATCAAGCCATTACATCTCCGAATCACTCCAGCAATGGATTTGAACCATGACCACTTTAAAGAAAAGCAAAGATCATAACCAATCACATCAAGTACATTTGTTCTATCTTTTCAAACTAAAAACTTATAATAGCTGAGAGGAAAAAACCCTTCCCCCATTTCAAATTTCCTGCTCCAAGGGCATTTGTAGGAAGGGTAGAATATGTAGTATTAATTTTTTTCTTTTTCCTCTGTGGAGCGGGCCAACTTACCGTACACATGCAGATTTAAACGGGTCCAGGATTGTCAATTTTTTTCTGTAAGTCCTTTTATTTCTCAGCAGTGGTAAAATATATATGAAAAGAAAAAAACAGTACTCCTTTTTATTGCTAAAAAGAAAAAAATTTAACAATAAACTAATGCATGGATTTTAATGGGCTAACCGCTAACCATAAAATAAAAGAGTTGAATGGGCCCGACCTACACGGGATTTGCCCATCAAGTAAAACAAATGAACATCATGGGTTTGCCATTCTAAAACAATTTATTTTCTCTAGTATAATATATATTATGCTATTATTTTATATCTTAGTGGCTAAATATAAGGGCTAATACCACTACAATACCCGAACTATCGCGAAAATGCCACTTGTGTCCTATTGTTTCCAATATTCCATCTGCGTCCTGAACTATGATTCTGTCAGTGTTGACTTTTGTTGACCGTTAGTTTTTAACCGAAAATCTAGTCAGCACTAATGTGGCATCTTACGTGTAATTTTTTAATCTGAATTTATATTTTTTTCACACAAAATAACTAAAGAAAATAACCCCTCACCCACCAACCCATCTTCGTGTAGTGACATCTCCTCCCCCAAATTGAATTCCGACCACGATCACCTCTCCTCCTCATTGTCGCCGACTTCACTAGAGCTCGTCGTCGGTCACTCCTTCCCCCATCCGTTCTTTTCCTCTTCCACCAGTACCAAAAAATCAAGAATGGAAATTAATCCCATCTGTCACTCCGTCGCCCCTGTTCTTTTCCTCTTCCACCAGTATCAAAAAATCGATGTTCACCCTCCTCCCACGTTTGCCTTCTCCAAACTGTCCCCATGAATTCGACGACGGTTAGCTTCTTACAACACCAGCCTAGCCTCCGCTGAACAACGACATCACCACCATCACCGGAAATTTCTTGGCCAACAAATTTGAGATTGGGGTTGTTGGGTCGGATTCAGATCTGAAGACGCCAGAGGAAAGAAAGAGGCGGTGGAGGTGGGAAGGGGAGGAAAAAGGATTGGTGAGACACTTGAAGAGTTGGAGTGGAAGAAGGATTTGAGAGAGGAGCAGGGGGTAGCGATAGTGATTGGCGGCAGCAAGGAGTCGAGGGAATGTCGAGTCCTTCCAACGAGGATCCCAGATCCTCCATTGCATTGGCTGGAAGAAGAGAGCGCTTCCGGATACCCACCGTAAACCTAATTCTCCCGCAGATGAAAAATCCGACGGTGGCAACAATGGCGACGATGAGGGGGAGGTAGAGGGTCGCTTATACTCACGGCAGAGATGAGAAGGAATTAGATATTCTGTTTTCTTTTTGTTATTTTGTTATTTTAGTTATTTTAAATTAAACCTAATATGACGTGTCTAGGTACATGGCATTTATGTGTCCACCACGTTTTTGCCACGTCACCAATAGTCAGCGTTGCTTTGACCACCGTTTGGTCAACTGTTATCTTTAACGGTCAACGAAATTGAAAGGATACAAATGAACCAAAGAATCATAGTTGAGGACACAGATGGAATATTGGAAACAATAGGACACAAGTGGCATTTTCGCGATAGTTCGGGTGTTGTAGTGGTATTAACCCAAAATATAATGTATTTCAAAGTTATTCAATGGTTCAACCTCGACCAACCCAATTAGTCCAAATTAATCATTTCAAATATATATTATTTAATTATTTGATATCATAATGATTAAATTATAGTGTATTTTATAGGGAATCGTTTGGTATTTGTTAGTAAAAAACTAAACAAAAAGATCTATTTGGTTATTTTAACATCAAAACGATCCTAAACATTTTCAGTTTCTTTTCAAAATTCTATAGTTTTATTCTCGAATATGTGATGTGCAACTGTCGAATTGCAATCATCTTTTTTCTTTCACTATTTTTTATTTTCAAATAGAAAGTTTAAAAGTAAAGAATAATTAGAGTTTGACATGGGCCGGTCAAACAGGCTGGATTTCAAGTTTTGGCCTGTTTTGATCAAGTCTAATTTATAATCACATGGTTCCCCGATACCCTTTAAAAATCTCAATCCAAACCAGTTTGGCAGATGAGTTCGTGTTTACCACCATTTTCTAGGGATACAGGAACGACGGTTCCTATCACAAATCGTGTTGTTCATTCTTGATTTCTTTAGATTTTATCATGACTTGGCAAAAACCAGAAAGCACAATGACAACAAGATGAAATGTTTATAAAGCAAATTAATCGGCCAACGGGCCTAGTCAAAGCTAGCAACGATTGTGAGATGCTCATTTCCCGAAAACTGGGAGGATAGGCGATTTTTTATTCGATTTTCTGGAATTCGGTTTCTATAAAACTTACTCCACCTCATCATATTACCAGAAACAATATTGTTTCACAAGGTAACAAGTACTTGATTTTGGTTCATAAGGCTGATTTTTTATTCGTTGCATCATTCATTTCTCTTTCCTACTAAAATTAACTATTTTTTATCACGTGTTTCAAAAAAAGCTATACAACAATAAGCTATACACCTAATTATATTATCAAATTTCATACCTCACCTTCTTCCGGCCAGCTGGCTGGGGCCATGCTAGTTTTTGTTAATTTTGCTAAAAAACATCTGATAAAATAGTTTTTGTTAACTTTGCTAATAATTCATGATATAATATTATATTGTAAATTTTAGTAAATTAAAATAGGTTGTAGTCAAAACTAGCAAGAATATTATTTTATGTACCAAACAATTATTAATTATTTAGTTAGTCGTTCTCTTTCTAATGGTGCTTTGTCAACAACCGTTAGTATCAATAACTCAAGTTATTGAGAAAAGTTTGATAATAAATCTTACATCAAACAATAATTCATGATTGAGTTAATCGTTCTCTTTCAAATTATATCTGTTATCAATTAACTATTGTATCTGAATTAACCATTTTCTTCGGAATCAGAACCCACCCTCTTACAATCTCCCTCTGAGAGGGAGAGGGCAGAAACCATCTCGAAAGAGGCTTAGAACGAAAGATCCACAAGGGATCGGGAAAAAGCACAACGCAATACAAAAATATTTCCTCATTGGTTTAGCTTAAGAGGATCAAATACTCACGATTACCACTAATATCAAATGGCTACAGCCTATCTAAAAACGAATAAACTCGGTTTAACATGGACGATCTAGACAACACTAACAAAACAACAGGTGAAAGAAGAACAAGTTACGTAAGTCTTACTTGTATTATATTATAGACAACCGAAACCTTCGGCCTTTCCCTCCATTTATTAAGCATACCCATTCCCCATTCATATATACATACATTCGATCGCCAAAGCACCAATACTCATATTCACAAGAAGAAGAAGAAGAAGAAGAAGAAGAAGAAGAAGAAGAAATGGTGCGACTTCTGGTGATGATTACGATTTCGACCATCTTCTTTGCAACTGGGTTTGCTGTAAGCTATACTTTTTATAAAAAAAGATATAGTGTGCATTCCAGCTGGACCAGACGGCCACCTTGTCAACTACGCTTGGAACGAGACGAGATTGGCTGCTGGTACGAACGTGCAGGACCAAGTGCTGGCTGACATGAAGGATAGGCTGAACCATGTGCCCCATGGCTTCGTGGATTTGTGCACCGTGAAGAATTTCGACGGCAATGACATCTACCTCTTCGTGGGTTGCACGGCTGGCATCTCGTCCGGCGAGTGCCAGGATTGCGTGGGGAAGGCGACCGCCGTCTTACGTGACAAGTGCCCCGATGGGGTCGGGGCTCAGGCCGCCGCCCCGAAATGTTGTGTTCGGTACGAGACGTACAAGTTTTGCGAGCTTTGATTTGAGGGTATGATTTTGAGCCTAAATTCTGTGTACGTAGCAGCTGCAGGTGGTCTGTTTTGAGGGAGGATTAATTAATTCGTGTACTCCCTTGCTTCCTTCGAAACTGTACGTGTTCTGGTAATTAGAGTTTGACATTCAGCCTGGTGTTTGTTGTAGATTTTTGGCAAAGAGGCGTGGAGGACGACGTTCGATCGATTTAGTTAATTAAGCGCTTCAAAGGTCCGCTCTTTTTTTTATAAGGGTGAAAATTGCCATTAACTAAACTGGAAAAAGGAAGAGTACAGAACAAAAAAAAAAAGGCTCAAGAGAATTGAGCCGAAACCAAACAAAACAGCACAATAAGAACCAAACAGCTAGGAAAAGGAAAAGAGAACACCAGTCAAGGAAGAACAAGCAAAGAAAAGAAAGCAAACAAAGGGAGTCAGTTGAACCAGAACAACCCCACTCCCAGACGATGCTCAATGGCCGCCACCAGGAACCAGGCCACCAAGGAGCAGAACCCAGCACCACAAACAGGAACAACACAACCGTCGGCGAGAACAATTGGAGTCACGAGAATGAAAAGCAGCAACCCACCCAGCAGATCCATCGCGGCCAACAGCACCCGGAACCCGACAGGCACCATCCAGATTTTTGAAGAACAAAGATAGCAGTCTCTCAGCCGCTTCCTTTCCAGCAAAGTATCCAACAAACAACGTGAAAGCAACAAAACACACCCCAATCCTCGAAAGTGATCAAGTGAATCATCCCAGTTTGTGCTGAACGCAACAATTCCTCCCATCCTTCGCAGATGGCGCAGAATGCACCACTTCCTCCCTTCCAACTCAACTTGCAGCCTGCACCAGACAGAGAGACCAGCAGAATCCCTCTTTGCTGACACGCTACCTCCTCAATCCGCCGCCGCCACCAGACCCATCAACTTTGGACCTTCCGAGCCACCACTTCAACACAGTGACCTTAAAAGCCCCAGAATTAATCCCAATAATCGAACCAATGACTGGAAACCACCCTTGACCCTCACAATCCAACCAAAGTTTCCCTGAACACCTTCATCCGTTTGAACTTTCCCATGTGCAGTGATCCATTCTAAAACTTTCCTAGACGCCCTCCGATCCACCACACTAGCAGGCTGACATTTATCTTCAAATACTCACCATCTCACCGTTGAAGATTACAGAATCAGAGAGCGTAGCTAGAGGATCCGAGGCGGCTGCTACAGCACGGGGGAAGGCTGTTGATAGCAAGATACCCGGAATCCAATGATCATGCCAGAAGGAAATTTGTGTACCATTTCCAGGCTCCAGAAATTATCATACTCCGCAGAAATATTTGCCCACACAGAATGAGAGAAACCCCGGGCAGCCCTAGGAGTCTGCCACATAGAAGCCGGACTTGAGTATTTGATGTTTATCATTTCGCGCCACCAGCTCCTCCTTTCAACAGCGTACCTCCATAGCCACTTAGATAGCATCGCATCGTTAAACGCCTTTAAATCGTGAATTCCCAATCCCCTTGCATTCTTCTCGGCCTTGCACCAATTCCACCCCACAAGAGCCATTTTACTGTTCTCCCCAACTCCATTTGACAGAAAGTTCTTTTGAATCTTTTCCAAATTAGTGATGACAGAAGCAGGCGCCTTGAACAAGGAAAACAGATAAGTAGGCATGTTGGACAACACTGCTCTAATAAGCACCAATCTGGCTCCATAAGAGAGATGTCTACTACCCCAACCACCCCGTTTATTCTGCATCTTCCCCACAATAGGATCCCAAATAAAAGAATCATTCGGTTTCGCGCCCAGCGGGAAACCGAGATACTTAAGGGTTCTTTCTCCATTTACACCCAAAAATGGCAGCGAAAAAGCTCGGGTCAGCCACATCTCCCACCGTGTACATCACCGACTTGTCCAAGTTGATCCTTAGGCCCATTACAGTTTAAAAGCAAGCGATTGTAGCAAGGACATGAAGCACTTGCTCGTGGTTTGCATCACAAAAAATCAAAGTATCCTCTGCAAACAGAAGATGAGTAACTTCCCCCCTTTTAGACTCTTCATCCATAAAGAATCCCTCAAATTTTCCATATTGCCGAATCGAATTCAACATCCACGACAGAAGCTCCATTACTTAAACAAAAAGGCCAGGTGAGAGAGGATCTCCCTGACGCAACCCCTTAGAAACTGAGAAGAAACCATTGGATTCCCCATTCACCAAAACCGAGATAAAGGAGGAACACATGGAACCTGTAACCCAGCCCAACCACTTCTCCGAGAGACCAGCAACACTCAAAAGTTTAAATAAACAACCCCAGTTAACGTTGTCGAATGCCTTCTCGATATCAAGCTTGAACATCAATCCCGGTCTTCTGCTCTTTTTACGGCTATCCACCAATTCATTAGCAATGAGCCCGGCTTCAAATATCTGCCTACCTTGCACCGAAGACATCTGTTGTTGGGAAATCAACTTAGGAAGAACCACACAGAGTCTTCTCGACAAGACTTTATTCACCAACTTGTTCAAGCACCCCATCAAATTAATAGGCCTCAGATCCTTAATATCTTCAATTATGTCCTTCTTAGGTGTTAAGCACACGAAGGAGTGAGTAGCACATTTAGGAAGATGCTCTTTATATATGGTTACTAGGTGGCGATGTCGCGCCTTGTCGCAGGACGGAGATGGTTTATGGCCATGTATTATGTGGTCCGTTATGGGGTTTTGTTAGTATTATTAGTCTAAAATTAATTTTTTGTTATAGTTTTGTTAGTAATGTTGACTTGACAATATGATATTGACTGAGAAGAGATATATGACGGTCAACATTCAATTTTAAAAAATTTAAAAATTTAGGCTAATAAATTATATTTACCAAAACCCAAGTAGACCCATTGATTATAGGTAGGGTATGGGTGACGTATATATGACTTTGAAATTTTGTAGATGGGTTTGAGTAGGGTATGGATATTTACTTCCACAATCTTAATGTGTATGAGTTGGGTATGTATACCCATTTATTCGAGGGTGTTTTAATTACAGATAAAAAAGTTAGACCTATTTGTAGAAAGTCAAAAGTTTAGGTACCAAAATGTCATACACAAAAATTTTAGGTACTAAAATATAATGTGCCGTCAATATTTTGAGGACTTATGTGCCAAAATGATAAATTTAGATTATAATCTAAAGATCTATTAAGTTTAGGTACCAAACTGTAATTTGTATAGTTGAGACTTAATTCCTTTATGGTGATGTATTTAAGATGACAATTATTTACTTTTTTATAGAAAAAGGAAAACTATTATTTGATAAGTGTAGATACCTAGCCAAACATTTCATGTATAATTGTTGAACATTCTAGCCCGGGTGAAAAAGAAAAACGTTAGAGAGAAGCCAAAGGAATAAAATTGGAACTCGCTTAAAATTTCATGCCTTCAAATCCCATAGTGGAAAATGATGACTTTCTAATAAGAAATAACCATATTTATTTATTTTTAATTGAACTCGACATTGAGCTGAAAGGGTTAGTGGTTCATGGCTCAATTATTAATTCTCTAGACTGTTGGTAAGTTGTGTATGGACCCGTTCATACTTGTGATTAGAATACATTAAAATTGTACACTAATTAGGGTTAGATGAAGAAGGCAAAGAAAGAAATAAAGAAAGAGTTATGGAATGCGAGTGAAAAATGAAACGGAGAGGAAGTAGATGATGGAAATGTTTTGACTAATTCTTTTAGTTGGCCGTGAATACAAAATTCAACCATTTTCGCCGTAGCAATTTATTGGCACTTGCTTATGTAGATGTCTATTTTGTTACTTGTAGTTAGTAGAAGATTTTTTAGTACCCCGTAAATATACTAAATGAGTTTATAAAATCATTCTTGCAATATTTTAGAGTCGTCTATTTTTTATCTTTTATTTAATGTTTCACGTAATGAGCAATTATAAAATGGTCGAATCTTCTCCTACAGTTGAGTGATACAACATCTTGTAAGGTACAATTATCAACATCTTGTAAGGTACAAACTAAATTTATATTTTTTTTGTTATGGTGGATAGGATTCATGGATTGATTCAAAAGAATTTGTGGATTGGATTCATGGATTCAAGTGAAATCTAAATATTGGACCAATATGTAAATTTATAAAAATCGTAGGTACAAAAATCTCATAAAATTTAGATACCAAAACATAATTGTTCAATGATTTTATATTAAAATTAAATTTGGGCTATCAACATATAAAATGTACATTATAGTGACTAAATTGTAATTTAATTAAATTTGGAATACCAAAATGTAAAATGTACAACCGATAATCAGCTTGCGAGTTTAGTGAACAGTAAATGCAGTTCTCCTTTATATATATATATATATATTAATATGATTGTGAAGAGGCTTGGGGTCTTCCTATTGTGATGCTGATTATGCTGGAGACCTAGACACTCGTTGCTCGACAACAGGATATCTGTTCACACTCGGTTCAAGAGCAGTATCGTGGTGCAGTAAAAGACAACCGACCGTTTCGTTGTCAAGTACAGAGGCCGAATATAGAGCGGCAGCAATGGCATCATAAGAGTGCACCTGGCTAGTGCAACTTTTGAAGGACCTGCATCAAGAAGTTGATTACTCGGTTCCATTATATTGTGACAGCTTATCTGCTATCAAGTTAGAAGAGAATCCTGTGTTTCATGCTAGAACAAAGCATGTTGAAGTTCATTATCATTTTCTCCGAGAGAAAGTGCTGAATGAAGAGATAGAGATGAAAGCAGTGAAGACTGGAGATCAGATTGCAGATATTTTCACTAAAGCACTTCCGAGAGTCAAGTTTGAAGAGTTCAAAAGAGAACTTGGAATGATCAATAAGAAGGATGTTGGTGACGCTGAGCTACGTGGTGAAGACACTACACAAGCATGATACGAACACTATTCGGAGTAATGATAAATTAAACTTTAATGGGGAGTATTGAAAAACAAAGTTTAATAAAAAAATGTAACATCACAACTCGTTAGAGTTGTGAAGTGTGTGGAGTTATCTAGAGTGTGTATTAATGTGGGTAGTTATGGATTAAAAAAAGAAGGAAAAAAAAAGAACCACAAATGTGTAGATATTTGTGGGGTTAAGTAGGTGTAAAGTGGTAGTTAGGTGTGGCAAAGCATAAGCCATAATTTAGTGTTGGAACTTAACTATAAATAGTCATGGTTTGTGTATGGTTTTATCCATCCCAAGCAAAGCAAAGCAAATAAGAAAGAAAGTAGAGAGTGTTTGAGCAATTGTGAGTTGTGGGAAGGTGAAGAAATAAGAGAGTCGGTGAGCATTTCAATCCATTTTTTTCCAACAGGTAACACATATGCGTTGATGGAAATTGAAAAGTAAAATGAGAAAGTTTCGATGACTGTTTTCTACATGAGAAATGAACACAACATCATACACGTAACTGAATTGTATGTAATATAGGATTGAATGTGAAGCGAGTATGGATATTAAAAAAAAAAAATTAGTACAAAAACATCTGAATTATTCACTCTCCCCGTCTTACTCCCACTCCATACAAAAAATAAAATAAAATTCCTCATCGATTTAACCCAAAATGATCGAATACTCACGATTACAGGTAGAATAACCATTCCCAACTAATATGGATCTGGCTACAGCCTATCTAACAACGAATAAACTCGGTATAACATCGACGATCAAGACAACACTAACAAAAAAACAGTAGAAAGAAGAAGAAGTCACGTAAATCTTACCCAATATTGTAGTTTGTAGACAAACCAAAACCCTCGGGTTTTC